AAAAAAGGCTGGGGATTTAGCTCAGCGGCACAGCGCCTGCCTGGCAAGTGCAAGGTCATGAGTTCGATTCCTGGTACCAGAGAAAAAAACCAACCCCCCCCCCAAAAAAAAGTAATATATAGGCCTTGTTCCCAAGAAAAGGCCTACATGAGAATTCATTTCAGTTTTTTTAAATTCCTATGAACTGCATAGTATTCTACTACATTCATGTACATTTAAAATTGGAAATGATGTCAAAGAAAGAGCAACAACGAATACTTCATAAACCCCTTACCTCCTTATTTATGCAGTAGCTTTGCATATCCCTAATCCAAGACTATTATATCCACGCACTTCACTCTCTAAACGCTCCTTGAATTAAGGAGACTACATAAGGAAAGATAAATTTTACTACCTTACAGTTCTGAGGGCGAGTAATCCAAAATCACATTCACTGGGCTAAAAACAAGATGTGTACAGGTCTGGGTTCCTGGTGAACTCAGTCTTTTTTTTTCCCCTAGCTGCTAGCTGTTAAGTGCACAGCTTGGTTTGTGGGTCCTGCAGCAGTAAGTACAAAGCCACCAAAGCAGCATCTTCTTTCCTCTCTGACATCTGCCTCTGTCTTCACATTTCTTTGTGATTCTGATCTTCCTGCTTCCTGAATATTGAGAACTTTTGTAATTACACTGGGCCCACCCAGATAATCCAAGACAATCACTTCATCAAAAAATCAACTTAAGGGCTGGGGATATAGCTCAGTGGTACAAGCGCCTGCCTGGCAAGCTCGAGGTCCTGAGTTTGATCCCCAGTACTGCCAAAAAATCAACTTAATCACATCTGCAAGACTCTTCTGCTTCATCAAGTAACATGTATATGTTTTAGAGCTTAGACAAGGACTTCTTCAGGGAGCTATTATTTAGCCTGTTTTTCTATAGGCTCAAAGAAAGCAACCAAAAATGCCATTATGTTCTTTTACCTTTTTTTTTTCTTTTTATAAAACTTTTAGTCCTTTATTCATCTGGAATTTATTTTTGTGAATCATCTATGGCAGGTTTTATATATTTTCTTCTAAACTTAACAGTCAAATGTACAATTACCGTTTACAGTATTAAATCTTTTTCCTACTGATATAAAATGCTATCACAATATATACTACATATATTAAATTTTCTTATATCTAGGTGTTTTTTTTTTTTTTTTGGTTTTTCTCCAGTACCAGGAACC